CCCCCCCCCCCCCCCCTCAAGAATGGAATTCTTAGCTCAAGTCCCAAACTACTTGGAATACAGAAAATTTCATTTGCGGATTGAGATAACTCTTAGAATAGATCATATACGAGGAGGATCGAATGATATTAACCAGCTTATGATTTCACAAATAAATACAGACAGAGAAGCCCATTTTAATACAATTTCAGACCGGGAAAAGAAAGTAGCCTAACCCGATTCGTGGATGTCAAATGATGGGTAGACAGATATTTTCATGCAAAGGGATTTTTTCCACCAATAGGCCCTTGTGTTGCGGCGTTCCTGCAAAATAAGGCAACCGTTTGATTTAATAAAGAATGAAGAATTGAAGGGAAGACTAGTGAAATTACCAAGCCAAACCAAGCCAGAACATTGCTGGTAAAGTAACATCTCAGCTATTTTGAGCCATTTCAGATGTTTTTAATAGAGATAGCATGTTTGGGAAGATAAATCCACATGGGCTCTTTCATTATCCATATCCCTTTGGGCTCTTTTGTTTCCAATCCCCCCCCCCCAGTCTTCCTCGGTATAAACATGTTAATAACTGACCATTTCTCTTACCAAAGTTTGCCCAAACAAACTTGTGGTGGATGCAAAAAACAAATGCCTTTATGATTGAGGAAAATCCATACTGTCAAAAGATAAAGGTCTATGATCCTTTGGGTATGTGATTTTTTCTATAACAATCTCACAACTATATTACTGCTAAATAGTTATTTCACACACACACACATGCAATAATACAAGGAAAAGCTTGGCAAACTGATTAAAGAAATATATTTATGCAATCAAATTTAATAAAGATGGACTCACGATATTTGGTTGCCAGTAGGTTGTGCTGAAATGAATCCTAAGGTGCCTGCAGTAAGAACAATCAGAAAAAAATGAAAGACCTAATAATATAACGAGATCGAAATAGTACATTTTTACTCCATTACCTTCTCCTACAGCTGAAATATAAGATGCAACCGTATTCTGTGCAAACCAAGGCTCTCTTATCTCACCAGCAAAGGGCATTGGCATCTCTCCATTTGGCAATGTAGCTTGGACGGAGCTCATATCCCAGAAATCAGGCTAAAAGTGCAAAGGATTATATTTTTAATTACACACATGACACATAACAAATCATGACACCAGTATGCTACATGGACCAGGATAGCCCACATTAAACATCTCCCAAAATGCACAAAAAATCACAAATAAGTTCCATAGACACAGAAGTGGTATAACCTTGCT